GGAGCCATAGATACAAAAGTTGAAGTTGAAGCCGTGATCTGTAAAAAAAGGCCGATCTGTTATTATTTTTATTTTTTCCTGGGTCGTTAAGAGCTCTCATGCCAAAAAAGTTTTGACGTTGGCTCCGCCCAAATTTGCGAAACAAATATATGCCTGAAGCTCGCGTGACATGCAACAGGAGATGTTGAATTTTGCGCATTAAAAGTACCAAATTCGTTTTAGCGGAATTACTCTAAAACTAAAGGGATTAAAAAAAATCCGTAGTGACAGTTGTCGATCATGCATAAATATAATTAATTATGTAATTTTTGTCCTAATAACCTGCAGCATTTCGAGGCTAAATCGAAAAAATGTGAAAATTAGAGGTCATTTCGTGATTTTTATCTATCGAGGAAACTTTATTGTTTTATGTTTCTGATTAATGTCTATGCTTGAATATATCGTGTAGTTACTCATACAATATTTTATTTTTAACTTTAAAGTGGATATACCCCTCTAAAATCAAATCGAAGATTAGGAATTTTTTCTCTGCTCCCTCTTAAGGTATGAACTTGAAGTTACTGTAAAAGAAAAGTAGATATTTTTTTTATTTTTCTCGGTTTTGGGTGTTTGTCCTAAGCGCCCTTTCAACTAATGGCGGCGGCAGTGTTCATGCACAAACAATTGTGACTTCGAGGTATTACTGTATATGTTGTAAATTCTAGAAGATGATTACGTAGTTGCTAGTGAAATTAGTGTATAACTGGTAAATATAACACATATTGTATCTATGTATATGATATTTGTTACACATTAAAAGTATAAGGGTACAATACGTTAGACTCAATTGGTAGGATGTAGCAAATGTTATATGTATGTAATATTGGTTGTGCTTTGGGTTAAAGATAAAATAATGGTAATAACAAATAATAATGTATAGATATTAAATGTGCCTACAGATGTGCTCGATTTTTGAAGATAGCTATTGTCGCCGGATAGCGATCGTTAAACTAAGGTTAATATCTAATATCGGGCAAGTTGGTATGGGCCGACCAAGGAGAACGTATCATGACCAAATTGAGGCCATCCTAAAGAAGGGGCAGATCAAGAGTACCCTTAACCGACGAGCGTGTATGAAAGCATTGATGCGTGTTGATGAGGCGAAGGATGTGTGTCAGGACCGTAGCAAGTGGAAGACTGTTGTCTCTGCCTACCCCGATGGGAAAAAGGCGTGAAGTATATGTATGTATGTATGTAATATCTAATAAATATCGAACATAAACCTAATTTAAGACAAAACAATCCGATGTCGATCGTCTTTTGCTTGCTTATTTATTCGATTTTGTTTGATCACGCGTGTCGGTCGACAAAAAGCACGACGTCAATTGTCTTTTGCTTGCTCACTTACTCGATTTTGGCTGATCACACGTGTGGACCGACAAAAAAAAAACGATGTCGATCGTCTGTTGTTTGCACATATAAACTCGATTTTGTTTGATCACAAGTGCTGATCATACAAGAAATCGAGCACAAGTGCAACTTTCAGCACACTCTTATGTAGATGAGAAATTAAGCGAAGTATGTTTATGAAACACGTGAAATTATCATTATAATTGTATATATGTAATTGCATTTTAAAATAATTAATATACTTAGGTATATGCAGATTGAATTTCCGATTTTGCGGACCGGCAACTGGACCAGGCTAATATAAATATGTCCATGTGTTGTTTGTCTATTCACTCTGGTTTTTTTTCTATTTAGTTAGATTTTTTAAAATATAATCTAATTGTTTTACTGTAAGCTTGATTTTCCCTCTACTTCTCAACGCCGAGAGTGTACCTACTATATATATATTTTATTGCCCTGCACTAGGGAAACCCTGAGTCGCGGGTGCCGTGGACACACACATAGACAATCACAAATTAAATCCCAAACTCACGGGAGTAATAAATGTAGGCCGTACAAATATTTCACCCGTCACGGGAATTGAACCCAGGACCTCTGCGTAGGAAGTAAAAAGTGATATGATTATAAAAGCGTAAAAGCTTCCAGTACATAACAATAAAACAACGATTTCAGGTCCTAAGCATTTTATTACATTCCATTAATACCTGTTTCATATTTATTACAGTGAGCATAATAGAGTGTTAGGCTCAAGTCACACGGGCGCCGAGTCGAAGCGACGCGACGCGTCATGTTTTTCGCCTATAGCATATTCATCTCTTTTTTCCCATCATTAGTACAAATTTGTGTTATGCAAATATGGAGTCGCGGTTTGGTTGCAGTCGAGCGGCTTCGCGCTTCGACGCCTGTCGTCGCGCGTTACTTGGACGCAGTGAGACGTCAGACGCCGATCACACTGTGATCCGGGCGCGCTAATGACACTTACATCCAACGTCGCGCGTCGCCAGGCGTTGTATTTGAAAAACAGGACGCAACGCGACGCGACGCTTCGACTCTGCGCCAGTGTGAGTTGAGCTTTAGAAATTTGACTAGTCAGGTAAAAAAAGTCGTCACTTAGCTGGGTGTATCCGCAAAAATCTAGATTTAGTCGGTCTGCGGTTTCAATGTATACGGCCATATCTCAGTGTTTACCGTTGGCCAGATTGTTGATCAGACTGGTCTGGCCAATGGCATTTTTTTCATACCTTTTCATATAAATCATAGGTTCCCAAACTTTTTCGCTTTCCACCCACTAAGGCAAAATAAAAAAATTCCACGCCCACCACCACAAATAATAATTGAAAACACGTATAATTATTTATATTAAGTTAACACAAAAAATCAGAAGGTGACAAATTATATATTTGTAGTGTAGTTTTATTTACTTAGGTCATTCTGGTTTTTTTTCAAATGCGGAAGCACCCCCTGGACAGCTTCAACTTCTGAGGCCCCTATCGCCCCTCTATTACTTTTCAGCACCCACTTGGGGGGGGGGCACTTTGGGAAGCTATGATAGAAATCCTACAACATAAATTATCTTCGGTACCAAGCGGCTAAAGGAGTGGTGATAGAAAGATGCATCATTTCACACTTGACGAATGGTTAAAAAAATTAAGTGATATGGATATTGTTGGAACCATCTCGATGGTTGGAACGAACGGCATACACATATTTACGCAGTTAACGTTCAACAGTTAAGTATCGCCATGGACCAGTAACACAAGAGGACTGCTAATCTCCCTAGTAACTTTCTGTATGGCTCAATTTACATTGCGGCGGATCGGAATGGAATGGAAGCTTCAATTTCGCCTCGCTGCGCGGGAAGGCGAGCTTTTCCGCCAATGCTCGAGCATTCCAGCGACCGCACCTTGAGGCTGTAGTATTTCATCGACGTTTGACGTCACACTGCGCCTGCCTTCGCGTCACTTACCGCGGATTAGCGAGGCGTCGCCGACGGCAGTTGCGGAGTTTTTTCACGTTGCTCGCGCATTCGCGGGAATTGAAAAGTGACGTGATTTTTGACTCGTATCTAGTTTGTACCTTACACAATTGACGTTTTTGTAAGGTACAAACTAGAATGTTATAACCAATGGTCGGAAAAACGTGCTTCACATATACGTATAGATATAGGTACAAGGATTTACATAGAGTTGTTAAAACCACCAAATAATAATTAATTACTTTTTCGAATTCCGGATTTCAAATAGTTTTACTGCATCGTAAGACAAAACGACTGACCTAAAAAGTCGAAATTGATTTTAAAGTAATTCTACTGGCCTTTTACCAAAGCAGACAATAAAAAAGTTACGAGAATGGTCACTCTCTGCCCCTCCCTAGCTTTAGAGACCGCAGTTCGCCCCGCATAATATATTTGACGGAACGGCAACACGGCTGCCAGTTCCGTCAAATATACGGAAACCATTTCCGGAATTCGAAAAAATAATTAAGTAATATTTAGTGGTTGTAACAGCATGTATCTATATATGTGGAACACCTTTTTCTGGCCTATTCTGCCCTCGTAATGAAGAAAGACACAGCTTTGCGGACTTATATTATTATATACGCCATTTGTGCCTTTTTTCGTTCCGAAGGCAATATGATGATAATACACACACAAAGGTTGATAAAAACTTTAAAAAACACTTTAAAGGAGCATACTGTATAATGGAAATAAAAAATACATGTTCGGTTTTTTCAAATACTTAACAAATAGATAAGCTATGACGTCTCAAAGTTTTCCGAAAAATTATGAATAACATTGACACCCGAAGATTACCAGACGTCGTTGCTATGGCAACAAGAACGGTCTTCAGTAGGCGGAGTCAGCGCGCGAGTTCATGTATTTGACCAACAACACTACCCGCTACCCGCACATATCATTCGCCACCCGCTATCAGTTCGTCGCAGAGCAAACCGATCAAAAGTCATTTTCGCGCGCTTATCGTCGACCCGTAAACTTTTAAGCCATGGAGTCGTATTCGACTACTTCAAATTTTCACATTTTGAATTCATCATACAAAAGTATAATGCATTCAGTATCATGCAGTTTCGTGGTAAGGCCGCTTGTAAATTTTTTTGGCCAAATCTACCATTTAGTGATACGCTAGGCCACACTTTCTCGATTCTGATCGATTTTGAAAACAAAGGGACGAAAATTATTATGACCTTCAATATTATATGAATATTATATAAATATTCTATAACTCTTTCGTTATAACGTTTAGTAACGTTTCGTTTTTTTGTTCAGTTTTGTAGTATCTGTTATCAGTAGTATCTGTAATTTCGATATTTTTTGCATCACGTTGCCTCGAATGTCCGAATATAGTGAGCAAATAATTACATTCATTGCCGGATATGTAGTACGAGTATTACAAAAAAATATAAAATGCGAAGAATGTAACAGTGCGCTGTCTTTAGAAAAACCTGGAATTGGTCATACGTATGAGTTCGTTGCTTTCAAGGATGAAGGTGGTCTAGTTTATCCCACATAAGATGCCATCCAAATATGCAGATTAGCAGAGTTAGAAATCCGAAAAATAATAAACAAATCAGAAAAATTTCACACGAGGCCGACATTAAGTAAACCTCTTCTGTTTAGTAAGGTTTTACGATATGTCAGCAGTAACATTATCAGTCGTCTTGCCATTCACCGATTTGATCAATCACCGACGGAAAACCATCGAGTAAATTTAACTAAGGCAGTTGCAAGTTCATATATTAAAGTGCGTTTTCATTATTTAAGTCAATCGATAAGATCTTCTATTACAAAAAGACAGTTATATACATTGACTTACAATTATATGGACGTCGGGTCCGCGCTAAAAAGTGTCCGCACTTGTAAGGCGCTAAAATCGTATACAGAGCGCCAAACTCCGCTTTAGTCTTCATTTGTTCTACTGACAGCGCGATACTGCGATGACAGTACAATTTAAATTTCGAATAGGGTGACTTGGGACATTTTTTTCGTGGTTTTTGTATTAGACCCGTCGTCCATTTATTTGTAAGTCAATGGTTATATAATAAGCTTTTTTATTTCAAGGACAATACTTTTAATATTTGAAGTTGATTAAAAATTAAAGTTTAAATTTTTAAGTAATCAAAACTTTTTAAAAACAATTTTTAATAAAGGACTAAACAATCTTATTTTGTTATTTTTCTACTATATTAATATTTCACGACTACTTGTAATCAACGAATACTTGAATCGATTAATTGAATGGAATACGTGTATTTCGTTCAATCAATCGATTTAGCGCGGAAGGAGGTTTCCCATCACTAAATAGTTCTTATTACATCATAGTGGATACAAAAAATGTGGCACGCTTGATTTTCATACAAATTGCTGTACTTGCAGCGTCTATGTGTTTGAGACTACAGTCTCAAAGTCTCACATACACAGCGTTACCAATTTGTGGGGAATTCCCCAAAATTGCGGAGAATTTCAACTCGATTGGGGATTTCGTGGGGATTGGCGCTATGTGGGAAAACTGTGGGGATTATCATTTTGTTTATCTATCGATTGCCGATGCATTTCTACTAGACTAGTTTGATCGTTACTTGTAACACTGTGATTCACTATATCGATATGTTTTTCTATCGCATTAGACACGCAATAAACAGCTTAAATAGAATTATTATCAGAGCACTTGGTTCTGATTTGTAAAATTGCCAGTCGGTGCGTGTTGAGTTCGCAATCTTTTCTCTCGCTTAGCCGGTCTCCAGTATGAAGAAAAACGAAATCAGCTATTGGTAAACGAAGCCGAGCAGTTACTACTACACCACAACTTACCACTCGTCACCTTTAAATATTAAATTTATGTCGAAACTTAATTTACTCATTGATTAGTTCTAACATTAACATAGTGTCACCAAATGTGCAACAAATAATTAAGTTACTTAATTTTGTAAGGCAAATAAATTTTTTTTTCAAGACTGATTAATGTTGAATTTTATTAAAATAAATAAACGATTTAAGGAATCTAATTTTCTAATTTTCTTTACATTTTACATTCTCTTTACATTCACAGCAAACGCAATAGATGATTACATTTTGTGTTTTTTAATTCTTTATTATATTATTGAGCGATGTATTTGTTATAAATAATCATAACTCGAGATGTGGGGAATATGAACTTTGCTCTCCCCAAATTTGGGGATTTTAACCGAGATTTTTGGTAATTTTGAACAATTGGCACTGGCAACGCTGCACACACTAGCCAGCCATTCATTATGAAAAAAAAAAAGATATTTTTCACAAATTGTGTTTGGTTTGGTGTTTGAGTGTTAATTTTATCTCCCTTGACACTGGCAAAATTCTTCAAGAGAGGCCAAAAACAATAGAAAATGGAATAGAATAGAATTTGTCGTGTTGTGTATTGATGTGTGGGTACGTTAATCATAATCACATCGGTGAATATTGTTGGGAGGGAGTCTCTTCGAGCACATTATCAACTATTGCCATACAGAGACTTACAGAGTTACAAGATAATAATGAAAGTTAAGGAAGAGGCAAGCGAATCAGAAAACAACCTCGTGGATTTATACGGCAATGTCCACATTAAAGTAGAACCAGTTGATGATGCCATAGAACATATTGCAGAGGAGCTGGTTCTCTATGCAAATCACAAAATTAAGGAAGAATTGGTCGTAGGACCTGTGGTGTTGCAGCCTGTTGTATTAGTTCAAGAAAGATGTGTGCAGAGTACATCTGATGGATTGAATGTTGATACGCGACCATACAAATGTGATATTTGCACTAAATGTTATGCAAATAAATACCATCTTAAGCGCCACAAAATAACTCATATTGGAGAGACACCAAACCAATGTGAACAATGTAACGAATCATTTACCTGTAAAGCAAGTTATAATAAACATTTAAGGACTCATACAGGAGATAAACGGCACAAATGCGATATTTGCCATAAATGTTTTACAAAACCACATATACTTAAAGCTCATATATTGACTCATACTGGAGAGAAACCATACAAATGTGATATTTGCAATAAACGTTTTGTAAGAAAACATCATGCTAAGCGTCATATAATGGTCCATACTGGAGAGAAACCATACAAATGTGACCACTGTAACAAATGTTTTGTCCGCAAAGAAGATTATGAAATACATTTAAAGACTCATACTGGAGAGAAACCATACAAGTGCAATATTTGCAATGAACGTTTTACAAGAAAACGGGATCTTAAAATTCATATAATGGTCCATACTGGAGAGCGACCATACAAATGTAATCACTGTAACAAATCTTTTATGCGTAAAGCACATTGTCAAACACATTTGAAGATTCATACGGGTGAGAAACCATACATATGTGATATCTGCAATAAATGTTTCATACGAAAATATGAACTTAAGTGTCATATAATGGTTCATACTGGTAAGAAACCATATGAGTGTGAAGTCTGCCGTAAAGGTTTTATAACAAAATATCAACTTCAGTGTCATATAATGGCCCATTCTGTTAATACACCATATGAGTGTGATATTTGCAAAAAATGTTTCACAGCAAAACATGACCTTAAGCATCATTATAAAGGTCCATGCTACAGAGAAACCATACAAATGTGACCACTGTTACAAAGTTTTTACTTTAAAAGAAAGTTGTGATGGCATTTAAAGATTCCTGCTCGAGAGAAACCGTACATTAAAACAAGTACTTAATTGTCGTAGTGGCCCATTGATGTGAAAATGTCCAACAATAGAACTGGGGCCTTACCATGAACTCTTATTACGCTTCAGTTTTAGAGGTAAAACGAATAGTTGTGAGACAGCCCTACATGGGGTGTATATCACCATCCCCCTTTTTTGTCGTTACGAACCTATACTGAACTGTAAAAAGAGTTCATGGTAAAGCCCCTGGTCCTTTAATTCACAAATGTTGTGCATAGCTGGTATCTGTTTCAAATTTACTCTTAATAAAAATGTTGTTAGCTTTGGACAACATTATACACAATTTGTTCACAAATTTCTACTCTAATAAATATAATCTTGCTTCATATATATAGTAAGTATGTTCGTATAGTATTTTTAATTGTACCAAACAAACGTTCATTTATATGCCACTTTGAAATATTGTTTATTGTATGAGATGTGTTCTTTTGAGTTTTCAAAGAATTTGCAGAAACTGAGAATGCCTTATATTAGAATTCGGCACATGTTTCTATCATAAGTCTGCATGTTAAGCCATTAATACGTAATTATTCTCTTATTAATTTAACAATTAATTTTATTAACAATATAATTTAATTACTGTCAATATTATCTTGAAACAGACACCAAATCTCTACACGTAACTTTCTCATTTCAAGTGCAATACGTGTAGATTAGTTGATAGTTTATTTCATTGTCATATTATATTGTATGTATGTTAGTCCTTAAGGTACATATTATATGGGTCATGTGGCCTCAAATAAATGTCTTAATAAATAAATACAAATAAAATAAATAAGGAATACTGAGATCCATGAATATTTGAATATATCAACCATCAAAGGAGTAAAGGATCCATAAGAACGAATTGGCGAGAAACCTGTTGCATTTACAAAACCCAACGCGGTTGAAACGATGGCTCTTTTTAAACCTAGATCAACGAATGTGAACCAGTACAAACCATGACGAGGGCATGATGCTTGCAGGAGCAACTCCCTCCATCGCCATTAAGAAAACCCATCTGATTATGGCTTTACAAGCCAATGGCAGATTGAATAGGATATAAAAAAAACGGACTCCAGACGACGACGAATGAGGAAAAGCTCAAGAACAACCTAGCTCAATTGAAAACCCGCCGGAACCATCCCCAGACAGCATTCAGCCGCGACGCTCCACTAGGCAGCGCCATTCCCCAGCTCACCTGAATGACTACATCTGCAGAACGAGGCCGGGAAGATTGTGGTGAATGCCATATAGTATATAAGAAATACACATACGTTTCATGTCACTCAAATTAGTTTTTTTATTTAGTAACAGTAGAGCTCCTTGTGAAAAAGTTCGTCCAGGGAAGTACTGCCACCTTACCTATTTCTGCCGCTCAGCTGTAATGTCAGCATTACTGTGTTCCGGTTTTGAAGGGTAAGGGTGCTGGTTTACTTACAGGCACATATGTCTTGGAGTGAGACGTGACAGTGGCTGTGCCCCTCAGATCTTTGCGATTTAAAGCTCTGACTGGTACTACAACTGTTATGGACATGCGCACGACTTGTTCAAAGTCGAAGATTATTTATTCCATAGGTAAAATAAATTTACACTTGAAAACGTCACATTTAAGTTACTGCTCGTTCACTACGCTGACCTCCCTGAGAAGAACGAGCAAGAAACTCTAGGGATTGCTCTTTTCAAATAAACTTAAATGCTATTTAATGCGGATTCTGGAGCCATGTCGTCTTTCCATACATCTTTATCTAACACGTAGTCTTCAATTTTGTAATATGATTTTTCGATCAAAATATTTTTAATGTAGATTTTAAACTTAGGAAATGATAAACTTAATATATGCTCCGGAATCTTATTGTAAAAAAAACCATTGACTTACAATTACATGGACGTCGGGTCCGCGCTAAAAAGTATCCGAACTTATAGGGCGTTAAAATCGTATTCAGAGCGTCATTCACGCTTTAGTCTTCTTTTGTTCGACTGATAGCGCGCTTGTCAATGATGCCTATGTATTGTGTAGAAAACCTTGTAAAAATTACTCAACTTAAGTGAAAAAACAGGATGGTATATGATACTTTCAGTAAGTACTACATTGTGTTATCATAGTTATCATTTAAAAGTGTTATTTTATGCACTAGTATATATATAGTTTTTAATTTATATTTAAATTAGTCGTAAATATAAATTACAAAAGCAATCAAAATAATCAAATAGCTAACTGTCTCTTTCCGACTCATAGCTTGCGTAAAAGACTGAACGAGACCCATCACGTCAATTTCAATTGTTTCAAACACAAGCGTTTGAAATATTTAGAACAAAATTTTCATAGAGTCGCTTTGATGCTAATATTATTATTAAAATATTTTTTAATACTTTCAAATATTGTTGTACTCTTTCTACGGCTTGGGGTTACGAATCAGAAGACTGAAAATACATTTGCCCGAAATAACGCTTGCATGAATTTCCATAATCCCGAAAGCATTTTTTTAGGTTTTTTTTAGAATATTACAAAACAAACCTAAGCTAACTTAGTCTTTTCTTTGTAATAAGCATCCAAAACTCCGTAAAGCGTAACGGTTTTATTATGAATCGGTTTTCAGGATTATGAAAATTTGGCTTTACGTTGAATTTGAATTAAAAAAAATTGAAACATCGGTACATTTCTTATGGCATGGCATAATAAATGTATTTAATTCAGTTTTCCTCGAGATCCTATACTTTGCTTACTATGGAGAAATATAATAGCTGAATCGCGGCGAGAAGAACATTTTATCCCGAAAATATACAAATTTGTTTGCTCGGCTCATTTCATACAATCGGGTATATAAGTAACCAGCAAACGCTTACGAAAATTAAAAAAAACAGCTTTACCAACATTGCTAGTAAGAACTGGTTTTTGGTGCCTAGGCATTATATCAAATTTTATTAAATTTATATTAAAGCTTTGGTATGTGATTACATCAATTAGCGAACTGTGCATAGAAAGGAGAGAATACAGGAATTTATCCAGTAAACATAACTTGAACTTAGGGAGAATGTGACAAATATTAACAGAGAACATCTTACACCGCCAAAATGCATTAAAAATCAAAAGTTGGATGAATGACAAAATATACCAACTTAAGAAACAAAGAAGGTAATTGAAGCAGACTGACACTGCAAATAAAATAGGATTTTTTAAATAAGTTTAAGCAATTTGTAGCTTTCAGATGCAAACAATGCATAATAATACAAATACTATAACCTTGATAGCCTAACGGTTTGCACTGTGGGCACAGGATGAGAAGTTCCCGGGTTCGATACCGGTAGGATCAATTTAACAAATTAACTTTTCTAAATAGTTCTGGTTTTGGTATTCTATTGTAAGACAATCACCTGGTCTGAAACTAGGGAACTCTCAGTACATACTCCCCATGAGTATCAGAGCAACAGAATCCCAGAGCAGAACCAATTTACAAAAGTTCATTTCCCAAATTGGTTCTACCGGGAATCGAACCTCGGACCAAGAACGATGGAATTTATTTCGGGGCACAATTCAAAATACCCAGGCCAAAACAATTTTCGAAAAGTTCACATTTAGTTTTATAGTTGATTGAGCTGATTTTTTACGATTTTTAAAAAAATGCTCGAATAACTCGGGAAATCGGGTACGAGAATTCTCGAAACTCAAGAAAAAAAATCAGACACCCTAGCTCGTAATGAATGGCATTGTATAAAATTTAACATTTACATATATTTGTTTATAAATAATAAAGGCTACTCCATTATACCTATGTTCACGTACTTTTCACTAGAAGCTACATATGGTGCATTTTGGTAAGTTTCCAGTAGAAGCTGAATATGGTGTTTTTTTGCGCCTTTCAATTGTTGCAAGCAAAATTAGACAGTAATGCGATGACATTACAATTTAAATTCAACGTTTTAGCTTTTTCATATTCCTTTACATGTCACTACGTTTAAATAGGTTGACTTGGGACATTTTTTTCGTGGTTTTTGTATTAGACCCGTCGTCCATTTATTTGTAAGTCAATGGTAAAAACGTATACAGTTACCCATAAAAGAGTTGTTTACCTTGGTTAAACGAAATCGTGGTACCGTGAGTTTGGACTTAGCTCTAAGGTTAATGTTATGGATATCTTCTTTCTTATTGAAATTATGTATATTTTTACGGGCATATAAAATATTTGAGTAAATGTACTGTGATGCCACAATCATGATAGGTACCAGTCTCCTTAAACTTTTCTCTGAGAGTTACCCGACAGCCTAGACGGTACACAGAACGAATCGCTCGTTTTTGCAATACAAATATGGTTTGAATATCTGCCGCTTTACCCCACATGAGATTCCCATAGGACATTATACTATGGAAGTAACTAAAGTAAACTAGTCTAGCAGTACTAACATCGGTAAGCTCACGTATTCTGCGGACTGCGTATGCCGCGGAGCTTAATCTGCTGGCCAGAGACGATATTTGTGGAAACCATTGAAGTTTACTATCTAAGGTCACTCCCAAGAAGACTGCTTTATTAACAAGGTCTAACTTTTCTCCGTTTATTTCTATGCTTGAACTAGTCGATTTTACGTTAGGTAATTCAAATTTAACACATTTTGTCTTCTTGGCATTAAGCAATAAATAGTTAGCATTAAACCAATAAACTACCTTAGAGAGGGTATCATTAATATGGTCATAGTTAATGTCATGTCTGTCTGTTTTAAAAATCAAGGATGTGTCATCAGCAAACAATACTATTTCGCAGTTCGTGCCGTCACTTAATAAAAAAAATTAAGTTTAGTTTTATTTTAAGTTAATGAAGCCTAATATTTCGAGTTATTAATAACTCTCATTCATTTCACCGAGAATTGTATATTTTCAGACGAATCTGGTTTTATGCCCAAAATTGGGCCCTAAAGCCGGTACAACGAACAATAGACATTGGCGGATTTTCCAAAAATAAAAATTCTCTACCGCTAGACCACCTGTTTTGAATTAGAAGTCATTGAGTTCTCTCAACCGAGATTAATGCGCATGCTTTAGAATGCTTGCGCATTACGCGGAAGATTTTAGCTCGTATCTAGTTTGTGCGTTGCACAATTGACCATAAAATTCATTACGCTAAACAATAGCGTCACAAATGTCAAAACTTTCCGATCGGCCAGTTGTGAATCGCAATTGTGCGCCTCGACACGGAAGAGGCACAATTTCTGGTCTGGAGAGGCAATCAAAATCAATCTGCAGGCCTCCGACCGGCGGCTGTGGCATCAAAGAACTGCGTGCAAAACTGTCCGCTGGACAATATACTTATTTGCACGCGGCAATTGGCGATGCAGCTTGATTTTGATTGCCTCTCCCGATCGGAAACTGCGTCTTTTCCGAGTCGAGGCGTATAATATTGCGGATGGGCTACCCGATTGGATAAACTTCCTTAAATAGTATTGTCATGAAAATCGTGCTCTATTATCTTCCAGCAACATCGCATCTATTTGTAACCGTCAGTAACTTAAATGTTATAATATTGTTGTAAAGTCTTAACTTACTATTGCTACAATACTTATAAATTACCTATGTACAATGTTTAAAAATAATTGATAATCAGATACCTACACACAACGTTTTGCATAAAATACAACCCCTTCGGTACAAATTCAAAGTGAAATCAAAATGAAGAATAGGCTGTAAGGCATTATGCCAAAGCCATTATAAAACTCTACTTAAAAAAAAAGAAATGTAATCAATTACACCTTGTTGGGTTATGTTAAGATTTATTTTAATAAAAGTAAAAACCGAGCTACGTGAGATAGCTTGAAGGAATGGTCTGTCCTTGTCTAACAAGTTACCAAGGCTAAATAAAATCATCTTAGGTAGTGTCTAGTGTATTAACTTATATAATTTTGGTCATTGACCTACCAACTTTTGGTTAAATCAAATTAGCTTAAAGATAATATGCTTTTACTGTTATAATAAAAAAAAATATCAACAATGAAACCTTCTATTATGAAGTAGCATATCAAATAAGTATACTAATTTGAATTACGAAATAATATTAGTAGTTTTGGTCATCCATAAGCGGCCACATTTTCTGTAAAAATGAAAAAGTTAAAAACAATGTGTCTGGCTGAAACATGCATGAAAGAGACGCATTACTACTTTGAATCCTCTCACTCGGCTCGTTTTAAGAGCGCTTTTGAAGCGACGTTAGTGCGTTTTTACAGTTCCCAATATTTGTGTTCATATGAACCACAAACTTAATAAGAGATACTACATATGAACGCTAAAAAATTATTCTGAATCGTACTCGCTGCGGTGTGCACGTAAATTGTTAATTCAAAATTATTGGCAATAGCCATTTGTGTTGCGAGAAAGCAGAAAAGGAAAATAAAATCATATTTGGTACACCCTTACGTGATCTAAGATATTTAAAAGGACAGTTTGTGTCGCTTTAAGAAGATTTGAGGCTTTATCCTTGTAAGTTTTTTAATTATTTCCGAATGTCGATAAGCACATTCTATGGATTATTGGCAATCGTAAGCCTCACGAGCAATCGCGCCATAGTAAACGGCACGCAATACAACTACACATACGAACGCGACTCGAGCGCACAACCAACTGACTGCAGCGCCGGCGTTTTCTCTCCCGTCAGAACAAAATACGAAGTTCCGTTGGCTCAATTCAGTTTAACGTCCAACTCTGAACGTCGAAAATCCGACAGTGCTCGATAAAAAAGCGCCGCGTTTTAAAAGCGCCGTCGTGTGAATAAACACGTGGATTTAAATGTCTCATCAACGTTTTTTTAAAAAACGCTCGTGCGAATGAGGCCTAAAGGATGGAAAAAAATAAAGGAACTTAGTTCCTTAACCTGACATTGGGGGAATCATCGATAGAGCTATAATAGTCTGTGGAGCTATGGCATTCTAAAGAACAAGAATAATAAAAGTTTTACAAAACACACTGTGTCACACTGCCCTGACCAAATATTAGAAAAGGCGGCTTCCCAAATAGAAAAAGAATTATTATTATCTATAACAGCTAATAATGTCGTACACGGACCTAAGAGATGTTATGAATGTTAAGGAGGAGGCAAGCGAATTGGAAAACAGCTCCATGGATTTACATATGAATTATTACATCAAAGAAGAGCCAGTTGGTGTTGCAGAAGAAGAACAAAGCAAGAAAGAGGAGCTGGAACTGTACGCAGATCATGAAATCAAGGAAGAGTTGGTCATAGGACCTGTTTTGTTACAGCCTACTGATTTAGCGCAAACAAAATTTGTGCAGAAAACATCTGAGGGATTGAATATCTATACTCGCTCATATAAGGGTGATATTTGCAATAAATGTTATACAAGAAAACGGACACTTACAACTCATAAAATTACCCATACTGGTGAAGAATCATACAAATGTGATCACTGTAACAAAGTTTACTATAAATCAAAATTTGTTGTACATTTGAAGACTCATAATCGAGAAAAACCATACAAGTGTGATACATGCAATAAGTGTTTTACAACAAAACAGACGCTTAAATTACATATAAAAACCCATACTGGAGAAAAACCTTGCAAATGTAATCACTATAACAAATGTTTTAGCTATCAAACAAGTTGTATTCAGCATGTAAAGACTCATACTGGAGAAAAACCATACAAGTGTGATACATGCAATAAATGTTTTACAACAAGAATGTCACTTAAATTGCATATAATGATCCATACTGCGGAAAAACCGTACAAATGTGATGTATGTAATAAATGTTTTGTAACAAAACGGAACCTTAAAGTTCATGAAATTTCCCATACTGGAGAAAAACTATACAAATGTGATGTATGTAATAAATGTTTTGCAACAAAACAGATCCTTAAAGTTCATAAAACTACCCATACTGGAGAAAAACCATACAACTGTGATGTGTGTAATAAATGTTTTACAGGAAAACAGTACCTTAAAGTTCATAAAATTACCCATTCTGGAGAAAAACCATACAAATGTGACGTATGTAATAAATGTTTTACAACAAAACAGGTCCTTAAAGTTCATAAAATTACCCATACTGGAGAAAAACCATACAAGTGTGATATATGCAATAAATGTTTTACAACAAGACGGACACTTAAATTGCATATAATGATTCATACTGCGGAAAAACCATACAAATGTGATCACTGTAACAAATGTTTTGCCCGTAAAGATAGTCTATGTAATCATTTAAGGACTCATACTAATCCAAAACCACACAAATGTCATATTTGCAATAAATGTTTTACAACAAAACAAGCACTTAAAACTCATACAAAGATGCATACTGGTGAGAAACCATAATTATAAATTTGACTACTTACTGTAACAAGTTTTTCACTATTAAATTAAATTGTATTAGGCATAGAGACTCATACTGGTTTGAAACAGTACAAGTGTGATATTTGTAATGAAACGTTATACAAAAAAACATGAACACAAATGTGAAAATATATTATATAACAATTTTTTTACTATTAAATTAAATTGTATTACGTGTATAGGGTATACCAGAACTCTACTCAATGCTCAAGTCAGCATCTGAGTATGGTTTAAAGCACTCGAAATCATACTCAAGTCCCTGCCA